ACGGGGACGGGGACGGGGACGGGGACGGGGACGGGGACGGGGACGGGGACGGGGACGGGGACGGGGACGGGGACGGGGACGGGGACGGGGACGGGGACGGGGACGGGGACGGGGACGGGGACGGGGACGGGGACGGGGGTGAGGCCGGACGGGCGTCCGGCTGTCGCCGGCGGCGGCGGCGCGTGGAGATGATGGTCCCTATGTGTGACGTGTGGGAAAAGGGGGCATATCTTCACCCGTGGCCGCTACCCGGCGAAACCCTGCCTTCCCCGATATTTCGGGGCACCCTCATCTAGTCACCCTAGTCAACTTCTCAGTGGATCGCTCAGGTTCCGCACCCACTACTGATCTGCCGGATCAACGGCGGCTCATTTCCATTCCTGGTCAACTCGCAAGTCGACTTTATCCCAGGTCACCACCGTCCATTGACTAGGGACACTACTTTCCACCATCGGAAGGATTTTCGACCCTGACAGGTCTCGATCCCGGAACCTCCGGGGGCATCGGTGTATGCGTAGTTACCAGTAGTGCCTGAATTGTATGTATGTATATATGTATGTGCGGGGGGACGGGCTGTGGGCTGTACGGCACACTCCCATCTCCGAGCAGGGCCGTACACCCATTTGGGTGACGTGGCTTGTGCGCGTGCACGTTTGCGTGTGCGTGTATGTGGTCGCTCTGGTAGTTCACGTGTGCGGTGATGTGTGTTGGCGAAAGACCATCAAGTTTTGCCGGCACGTCGGCAGTGAATGGGCAGTTATTTGGCAGGGTTGATGGACAGTTGGCAAGAAGGAAGACTAGGTGACCGTTGTGGTCAGACGGCGTCAGATGCCAGCTGTTGTCGAACAAAACACAAGCGTTGTATTAGTTAGTTGTGCGCTACCACTGCACTATTGCAGTTTTTGGTAATACCGTTGTGGTAAAACGTCATAGTTGGAGTCGTCATCAAGTCCGTCATCCGATTGTGGTTTTGTTTATGATGTCACGAAGGTAGGAGAGTTGACATGGTCTATTACATATGGAGATTTTATACACAATCATGAATGGTGATGATGATCATATGACGAAATGCGCAAAGCATTTTTTTTGGAAAATAGCGATATCGGTGTCGGGGGGAGCCTGAGGACCAGCCCGAGACTTTCCGGCGTTTGAATCGCAGCGGCTGTGTGGTGGTGATCAGCCGGCGCGTGTGCTCGGGTGGGCATTTGGGAGGCCCCGCCGCGGGGCCCTTGACAAGAAGGCGCCTCGTGAAGAAAAAATGGGACAAGGGGGTGAGACAAATGCATGTGCCGCTTGCGGCCTGGTGCTGAGAGTGAGAGCTTAACATCTTATTTTAGGCGTAGCCGAAAATGTGGTTTGAAGAGGGGCGTCAGAGCGGCGTCGTACGGTGCAGTTAGTTGGTTGTTGTTTTGAACTGCTATTTGATCGGTGGTGTTTAGTCTTGTCGAATTATCTTCCGGGCAATCTCGGACTCGGCTGCTAGTTGATACGAGCTCTCTTTACCAGGACAGCTGCTAGCTGCCGCTGTTATTGTCCGTTGGCCAACAGTGTGAATTTGACGACCTTTTCTTATAACAATATAGAGACAATCTCTGTTTTGTGGTGCAGCCCTGAGAGGAGCTCCCAGACATTACCGGAGCCTTGGCCCTACATCTGTCGCCGGGTGACAGAGTCGGCTGCGGGCAGTGCTCCGGGCTCGCAGCCGCCTTGCTTCATGAGTGCTAACGACCATGACAACAATTGCGCATTTTGTATTGTTTATACAAAGGACAGCTGACTACACTGAGAATGTGGCCATTCGCTTTGCGCGCGTTCGTTGAGGCCGTCCTGGCTAGCGTACCAGTTTCTTGCGGTATGGCCGGGGGAGCTGTGCGGACTGCATCACCGGGGAGTGGCTCCTCATAGCAGAGCTCCAGTCCGTGCTGACGTTAGCAGTCTGCCGCGACGGTATTCAGTCATCCAGTATTGAGGGGACCTTGTTTTCATTAGACAGGTAAGGCAGGACAGCGAGCATGGCATGCTGGTGTTGGGGAGGCATGCCGCTGTCATTTATCATTCCTGCTGCTATTGTTGCTTGTTTCTACCCAGGGAGGTCTCGTGTAGGCTAACGCATTCGATACCTCGTATCCGCGCTTATTAAGTACGCAGGGCGTTTCATGACCTTAGGGCATCTATCTGTGCGCCCTCGCCGCACGCGGCAAGTGATTCGAGAGATTTTATTGGTATGCTTTGCGCACCTGTTGGGTATAACGTCACAGCGTTGTGAGAGTGCGGCATTATGTATTGCGAGCGAAAAGGTGATTCTACCTGGATGGACAGTGAGCGGTCGGAGCCTGGCGGACATAGACGCGTGATACGTGTTAGGACCAAACGGACGAACCTAATTTTGCTTGAGCACTGTGGCACCTATCCCGGGCAAATACCAGGATATTTACAATGCCTAGCTTGGGTTGTGACCTTGCCGTGACAGCTAGGCAACGCATATGGGCGACGCCCATAGGCTGCGGAATTGAACACACCATATCCGGCCAACCTAGAATGTGGCATCGAGTTGTTGGGGTGGTTGGTAGATTGCATGAGGAGCGTGTGTGATTAGGGCTGAGGGAATGTGCTTTTGTGGTTCTCTTGATGCGCAGCCGTTGTTGCAAATGTTGGCAGTGCAAAACCGTGATTCCAGGTTGCAGTAAATGGTAGCGTCGGGCTGACGGGTATGTTGTCTACTGGGGTTGCAAGGGCGGCTTGTGGGAAGGTCCGGACGTTGGCTCAGGCTACCTCGACGTATGGATAGGCCGCGTCCAAGTAGCTGCGGGTTAGAGCTGCCCTCCCCGTCGGGCGATAGACGGGGCGCGCACCGCGATATCGGCCCCCTCCTCGGGGATAAGGAGGCGTCTTGCTGACGTTTAGCCCAGTTGGAGGGCCCCCACACGCTGCGGGTTAGAGCTGCCCTCCCCGTCGGGCGATAGACGGGGCGCGCACCGCGATATCGGCCCCCTCCTCGGGGATAAGGAGGCGTCTTGCTGACGTTTAGCCCAGTTGGAGGGCCCCCACACGCTGCGGGTTAGAGCTGCCCTCCCCGTCGGGCGATAGACGGGGCGCGCACCGCGATATCGGCCCCCTCCTCGGGGATAAGGAGGCGTCTTGTTGACGTTTAGCCCAGTTGGAGGGCCCCCACACGCTGCGGGTTAGAGCTGCCCTCCCCGTTGGGCGATAGACGGGGCGTGCACCGCGATATCGGCCCCCTCCTCGGGGATAAGGAGGCGTCTTGGTGGCGTTTGTGTTTTGGTCAATCTGGACTTGGTGAGGGGGGAATTCTTGAGGGAGGAATCACCCCATGGGAGGAAATCAGCCCATGGGAGGAATCACCCCAGTGAGAGCTTAACTCCCCTCCTTCCTGTGGATAGGGTACATTTGATGAGTTCAGCATATTCAGAATACCGCTGTGGCGCTAAGGAAAGAATTTTTTTTCTCGCGGTCATCACTGATCAGGCGATGTGCTGCTTTAACACTGTCCTCGCGCTCTGCTGCAAAGCAACGAAGGCAAACGTTAGGGTATTTGGGTCATGTTATGATAGCCAATATACTCGCCGACAAAATTGACGCTGAGGGTCAACTTCAGTATGAACCTGCCATTTTATACTTTTGAATGTTACGGTAATTCCAAGTGCCTTCGTTCTATTTTACCACGTTGTGGATAGCTGCAGTTCCTTGCGCAGCCTCGTTTTGATCGGTTTGCATCTGCCCTGGTTTTCAACGTTCGACATTTCCAGCTTATTATTTTTTGTTTAAGTGGTCAAATTAAATCCCTTATCAAATTTATGAGGCTTATATGAAGTGAAGATTTATGGGATATCTCGATGTATCTCGCGACACAGATGAGGAAAGAAGGGAAAGAATCTGCTGCTGCCCTCTGACTTCCTCATTTTTCCCCCTCCCCCGGTGGGCCATAGACAGGATATCCCAAACCCCCGTGGAGCCGTTTCCTCCGCCTGCACCGACCAATGATACATCCCCGCTCCTCCAAACCGTACGGCACCAACGCATACACTCTCGTACACAAACATTCACTCCGCTTTTATCGCCATCATCTTAATTGGTTCGCGAATTCGTTTATTTCCCCGTTCCTTTCCTTGGCGAGGTGGTGATGGAGGTGGGAGAGCATCCCTGGCATGTCATGCAACGTGGTGGTGGTAGTAGCAGCAGGAGCAGCAGCCGCGGCACAACCCGGGCTTCATGAGGTCTTCCCTCACCCCCTGTACACCTCCTCAGCAATGCTACAGAACACCAGCAGCAGCACGGCCACAGCGCTCCAAAAAGGCAATATCGCCATCGTTTGCGCCGCTGTGCATTCCGCATTTCACAGCAATGGTCAGCCATCCCAAACCTGAAGGCCGCCGCAGACAGAGATGATAAAACGAAATTACTAATAATGCGTGCGACGCTGACGCCACACCAACCATACCACATCTGCTGTCTGTGGGGTTCCGCTGCCTCCTCTGCCTCCTGCACGTCCTCAGTGACCGTATCCCCCCTCCACAGCCCGCCCCCTCTCGTCCCCCTCAATCAGGACTCCGCACCACCACCACCACCACCACCCCAACAATCAGCACTCCCATCACCACCATTACCTTGCAGCCATCATCGCTATCGACATCGTCAACGGCATCAACGTTTCCACCGAGTACCGTGTACGGCTCAATGTACGCCCACCCACCCACCACCCACCCTCATATTACCTCTCTCCGACCGCTAGCTGCCACCCGCTGGTTGACATTCCCCCCTTCCCCTCCCCCTCCCTCATACATCCTGCACATCAATAAACCGTTTTTCCGCGTCCTGTTCCTCCTCCTCTTCTGCTGCAGCTGCCGCCTAGAGCTGGTACCCGTATATGTCGGTGGATATGTCGGTAGCTATGTCGGTGTCCCAGGCCCTCCGGGCCCAGAGGACCTGGCACTCCTCGCCCCAGACACCGCCCTCATGCGCTGCCACCCCTGCCCACCCCCCAACCAGTCCCGGCCCTAGGTACATCACCGGCATTACCGGCCCGCCCAGAAGCCCTCTCTTCTCTTCTCTTCTCTCCCTACCCCCCCCCCAACGACCACCTCATCCGCCTCTTTCTAATGCTGCCGCTGCCGCCATGCCGCGCCCTCGTCCTCTTCCTCGTCTCCAAGGGCTACGTCCCGTCCGTTACCAGCACAACAAAACATTGTTGCGCTGGTCACACCTGGTCCGTGTCGGTGGCATGCGGGGACCTCCTCCGTGCCTCAACCCGCAAGCGGGGCTTTGGGTCTGGGGGGGGGGCCTCCGGCCTGTGCGGCCGGCCCTCCCCCGCACCCACCGCATCCACCCACCCACCCAAAGCCCCAACCCACACAACACATACCACCACTGCAGAGCTTCGACACCTCATCCCACCAGCTCCAGGGCGTCTTGAAGGCGGTCAACGACTTCGCTGACCACGCCCCAAATTGCAGAATCGGCGACGACGATGATGACCTCCTTTCTTGGAGGCTGCACCTCAAGCGTCAGGTGGCTCCATCCGCCGTCAATCCTTAGGCAAATGCGATCGTGGCTTGGATGTACTTTTGTCGTGTATCTCCTCGGCCCGTCGCCGCCCCTCAATCGAATAGCAAAATGGCAAATTGTGCAGTGTGCTCATGATCCGACGGTTCAGCAGTTGGAACGGCGCTCCCTAGACTATCCATACCTTCCCATGCTACACACGCCATGCCACCCAGTAGACCGGCTCCAACATCGGGGCGCGTTAGGTATACAGCCTCATGCTATCCATTGGTCCTCCTGACCTCATCTTACTCGCTGCTCGTCCTATCCTGGCCCCGGAACAGCGGGGCTCTCTTAAGGCGCCTCCATTTGCACCGCCTTTAGCGCTACAACCTTTCGCCTTCCTGGGTCATTCAGATACAACACGACACACTCAGATGCAACGTGCCTTCCTGTACGAGCTACTTCTTGCTGCCCTTTCCGGCACCCTTTCCTTGCACAAACCCCAAACAGAAGCAGCTCGCTGAGGAACGCCAGGAGCAAATGAAGCTGCTGCGTACCTACAGGTAGGAAGTTGTAACGACCTACGGGTCGTTTTACAAGCCATGCGCAACTCCGAACCCCCCACTTGCACGACACGCCGAGTCTTACTAGGAGACGTAGGCGATATTCCCTTCCAACACAGATGAACAGCCGTGCACCCGCCAGCGTGTTCGCAATCCAAAGGGCTCCGGGGAATGGAGCCGACAGCTTTGCGTTTCCGGGGGCCTTTCCGGGGGGGGGTTGACATTGGTTGATCCAGTTGCGGCGCCGCGGTTTCCATGCTCATGGCGGCCGACTCCAGGAGGATTAAGACCAGCTGCGCCAAATTAGGCATCGTGGCCAGCACAATGGGAAGGACTCCGACTAGCCGGACGGCTTCACTGTCCACGGGCGCCATTCCGACAGCGTGGGGGTTCACAGCATGTCGGTCTCAACTGGCCGTTGACAGTTGTTCACCAACCGCGACAGATCATAGCTTCACGGCTCAGAGCGCGGACCTGTCAAGAGATCTCGATCTACTGGAGTAGATCTGATGGCGCCGTTTGGACGAGCGATGCAGTGCGGCGCAGAGGAACTGTTGCGGTTGTGGTGAATGAAGTAAATCACTCAAACGGCAAGCGCGAACAAAATCATCAAGCGTCACAACAGCTCCGGACCACCCAGCTCCGAAGTCAACTGACAAGCTGGTAGCCAATCAGGTCCTTACTTTTTCGGAAACGGTACAGTAATACATCGCGGTACAACTATACTAGGCCCCACTGCAGACAGCAGGGCCAGAAGATAGAGAGCCGCCTAATGCATCCTATATAAAACGCCTTCCACTCACCCCGCCACCTGTTGCCGTACAAGCCTGGGAGGCCCACCTCAAGGGGGTTCGGCCGTCTCTCGGGACCGCCCGCAATGCCGAGAGAGAGAAAGCGATGGGAGCTGGCAGCCGCAGCTGCCACACACGGCGTTCAGCTCGGTCGACCCAAGCGCCACCGACGCCAGCTGCAGATGCGTCAGAAACGGCACGCCGTACAATCTCCAGGGCCCTTGGAGATGCCCGGGAGCACCCGGCGAGCTCGGTGCAGGGTTCTTCACCCCGATTCGGGCCCGAAATTTTTTGAGATATTTCCGTTTTGCCCGAAAGGAAAATTAGTGCGCCCCGGAGCATTCCGAACGGATTTTGGGCCTTTTGGAGCATTTTTTGGGGGGCCCCACCGAAGCATTTTGACGGCATTTTCGGAAAAAACCGAACGATATTTCAGCGTAAATTTGCATGTTTTCGGATACAGACAGGGCCTGGAAACCGGGCTTGCAGTATAAGGCCCGCTTGGTCACCAGTCAAACAACAAGTACAAATGTGCATTGCGGCTGTTTCGCAGCTGTATCGCAGACATTTTCATACATCTAAGCATATGCATAGCTAAACATGCCCGAGTCAGCTGATGATGAGCGCCCAACCAAGGTGCCCCGCATCTCCCTCGGGATTCGCGGCTTCTTTAAGGCATCTGGTAAGTTTCTATCATAGAATCCAGCTAAACTCTACCCCGAAAACCGCTTCAGACAGCTTCGGGGTACCCGAAAACACGGTCAGGCTGACAGGAAAATTTTCGGGGAGGGCCCCGAAAGGTTATTCAGAGGGTTTCGGACACGACCGAAAATTTTGGGTACCCTGGTGAAGAACCCTGGCTCGGTGGCTGACCAGTCCCGGAAAGCCTGCTAAACGCCGCTTCCGCTGCCGTCGCCTCCACTGCTGCCGCAGGGTCGATTCGGTGATGCACCGCCCTGCCAGCGGCATCCCCTCTTGAGCTCCAGTCTTTGGAGCTGCCGTACTCCGGCTCCGGGGACATGCAGCACGTTGGCGTGGTTGAGGGACAGTCGTCGCAGCCTGGAAGGGAGATGATCCGCCCGCAGCAGCAGCTTCCCCAGCCACAATGCGGCGGTGCTGGCGGCGCCGGCGGCACCGCTGCCTCTGTTGGTCCCGGTGCCGGTCGACGGGCGATCGTGAAGTCCCAGCTCCTGACATGTAATACATGTGGCGGCGCTAAAGTTGGATTGTCGCAGGAAGGAAGGGTGAATGGTGCGATGGACGACCCATGGGTCCGTTAGGTTGTGTGTGCCGGGAATTGTACGGAAGTCCGGATGTCCCTTGACATGCATATATCTGTACAGAGGTTCTGTATTATGGCGCAAGGTCTCATCTGAGCATACCGGGTTATGTCTTTGAGTCAATGGTATTGAGACGGGGCCGCACGACATCCGCCGTAATGTGCGGGTCGACGGTTGGATTCTGATTTACAGCAGGATCCGCCACTTAGCTTACGACGATGTATTGGAAAATCCAACGCTAGAAGAGAGTGAGGTGGGAGGGCTCCTGCGCTCGTTAAATTGGCCGAGGACTACCACTGCTTTGGGGGCCAATGTAACGACGCAAGGCCCATTTGAGCATGCCCTTTTGAACTGTTGGCCGTTGTGCCCGTTGGATCGGAAGTGGCCTTGAATTTCTTGTTTGTCGTGTTTGGTTTCTGTTTGTCGTGTCGGGTCTCTTGTCCTATTTCTCTGTTGTCGGTGACCTGGGCGCGTGGAGCGGTCGTTGTTTCAGAGCCGGTGTTTCAGTTCTGACCCCTAGTTGGCCGTTTGGTCACCCCTGAGCGGGCACATGTTTTGGCATTTTCGATCGTCTGCCGTCCCTTCTTCAGTGGGCGTCCATCAGCGTCTGTTGCGTGATCTGTCGCGTCTGTGGCCCGTGGGCCAGTCTATGCGCGGTTGGGGAACGCTGGTTTGACCTAGTTCTTGTGGAGTGTGTTTGGCGCTTTCCGTTCGGTTGGTTCGCTCTTTAGCCCGCGTAGAGGTGGCGCGTCCGCAACCCTTGCTGCTGGGTTGCCGCTTGGAGGTCGTTGAGGCGTTTGGCTCGGGAGCTCTATTTCGTTTCGGTGCGCGCGCCTGTCTGGCAGCTCCCGCGTTCTTTGGCCCGCTTGCGGGTCGGCGCGTTGCGCTGTTTGGTGGTTCAATACTTCAACTGCTAGAGGTGGTATCTTCTCCTTAGAGATTTGTCTCTGAAGCAACATGCTGTGTTTGTTGCGCGTAAGGCCCAGTGCGTAACAGTGACTTTCGCAGCGGCCCGTGTCCCCAGGGCCGTCATTTTTTGCACGCATTAAGCTGGTAAACTTATCTTGTTTTTGTTGTTCAGCGCGCGCCTGCCCGGCCGTTCACGGCGCAGCCCGCGTTCGTTCAGTTGTGGCGGTGTCATTCGAAAGGCCCGTCTCCTCCGGGCCTCTCAGTTCGTTTCTCTCTTCCATTATATGTTTATATGTTACAGAAAATAGCATTTACCTCTGAAGCAACAAGCTACCGGTGTCGTAATAAATGCACGTTTGGCCAGCACATCTTCTTGTCGTCTGTGATAATAATCGTTGTAGCTAGCTTATATAAAGTAGAAGTTGACAGAGATGTTGAATTGCCGATTAAGACGCAGGTTGGACCGCTCCAGGAGGCGCTCCAGGGAGGCTCCAAGGAGCGCCGTGCCCACAAGAACGAACTGGAAACTCTTCCATCGCAGTCTTCAGCAGCGCCGCGCCATGAAAGCGGTTTGCGTGCATGGTATAGCGTGTGGCGAGTTTGGCTTGCGACATGGATCCCATAGCGGCTGTTGATGCGAAGATCGACAATGTTGCGGAACAAATACAGGCCCTTGATGCAGCGATAGCGGCTTGCATAGATAAGGATGAATTAGCCTACCTACGGCAGGAAAAGTTGTTCCTGCTTGAGAAGGATTTGCTCCTGCAAAAGGAGAAGTTGAAGCTGCTTGACGAGAAGGAGCAGCTGCGTAAGAAGGAAGAACAAATTCGCGAGGAAAAGATTATTTTACTTCGCAAAGGTGAGTTGCTTCAGCGCATATGATAGAGGCAACGTGTAGCTGTTCTCTAGTTCATTTCCACCACCTGCTCATAACATCTTCGACTAGTGCGCCTGCGCTTACTGGTTCCTTCCCTCGACACAGATGCGGATGCGACGCGGGCTCACAAGTCCAAGTCCTTCTCGTCAGTGGCCTTGACGGAGGCTGAGCAGGTTTTGCGCACCATCGGCATCAGGCCGTGTGATGGCAGTCGCTTGGCAAGTGCGGAACTGAAGGTTCCCCCTGGCACGGCCCACTGCTATGTATTCGACATAACACCGTACCGGTCTGAGAATGAAGCTACGCCGCCGCTCCTGCAGCACCACCAGGAGCAGCTGGAGCGCCTGGGAGTAAAATTTGATGTTGAAGGCGGCTTCCAAATGTTTGATGTGCACAATCGCAGGTCTGGTTCCCTGACAATCTGCTGTGGTGGCCAAACCTATCGTGGCATCTTTGACGGCTGTGTAGCACCATATGGCCTGATGGGCTTCGGTTCCCTGGAACAGAGCCGTATCATATACGAGCACAAAAGGCAACCACAGGTATGTACATGTATTCTGATTAGTTAGTGATGTATTACAGCTGCTGAATACGTTGGGTGAGGGCATGGTATGTATGTGTTCAAGCCAGAAGTGTGGAGTCGCTTTACCCACCTAACATGCACATCTGGATTGAATGACAATCTGCAGGACGCATCGGCTAAGGCCAGGGAATCATGGAGCTGCTGGCTGCTAACGCCTATGGGCCATGTCCAGTGATGCTGGATGTGACGGATGGCACCACGCACGATGTGTACACCATTCGTGGGAAGCAGCTCATCACTTGGGCTGGGCTGGAGCCAACACAGGTGGGGGATTCGGCCCAGTCACTACATAACCCAAAAGATGCGTTATACTTGCTAAGAGGTCCAAGCTTGCCTAGGACGCTGCATGCTTTTCATGCATGGATAGGCCAGCAGTGTCGCCCTGGCGCTCTGACTTGTATGGAGGAGTGTATTGCTAAGGGCATATATAGAGTACATGGTTAGGGGCAGCTCATATTCCATTCCCCCCTGCATCCTGCAGGCCTACTACCTGCAGGCGCAGCACCTCCAGGCAGATGAGAAACGCGCGCTTTGGTCGCTAGAGCTGGAGCAGATTCCGGAGGAGGAGCAGGTGTGGATGCGAAAACTGCACGAACTGCGCCCTGTTTCGGGCCTGAAGGAGCAGCTGGACTCGATCATTCCCTTCCTGCCTCCGGAGGAGCGTATGTCCACGGCGTTTGAACTCATCCACTCGTGGGTACGGACACAACCGGAGCCGTTTTCCTGACCGCTTTCCAACCTACATCAGCTGAACTGGGTGAGCCAGTGTGAGGGACATGCTATTATGTATTGTAAAACGCAATGGGTTTGGTTGCTTGTTCGCATTAGAGAGTTGATGACTCGGAGGGCTATCTCACGTAGTGATTTTGATGCAATCTGCCGGCACACTCAATGCTGATATGACCTTTTGTGGTCATATGTGACCAGCAGCATCAGAGGCGGTCATAAGTCCAGTTTGCGAGAGAAAACATAACTAAAGTAAGCGAACTCAGACTTACTGCTCAGCTATCAATGTGCATGTCCTCATCCAGATGTTATGAATGACCTGCACTCGATATCGGCCTTGTATACACCTAGGTTGGAAAGCCCTCCATGTAGGTCGTCGCACACGGGATACTCTAGCAACACATGAATCTCATCTTCTACTGCATCATTACTTTACACCTGCACTCTTGACGCGACCGACTGCTGGATCGGTTGACCTCTAAAGGTCACTCGCCTAACCGAAGCCGCAGCATGACAAGTGTGATTTGCAGGAATGTAGCACGCCGTGTGTTATGGCGTTCCCATCCAATGGATATGCCGGCACATCTTGAACCCTGTTTAGCGGTTGTCTGCTCCAAATTCCCGGGGTGCGGTATATAGCCGTAGGATCTGCCAATCATCATGAAATCGCTGCATTCAACATTAATCGGGTTCGGCATAATGAAATTGACCTTCCCCTTGTCATCCAGTTCCGGGTGCGGCTCCGGGAAGTGTCCAAGGCGCCTAAGACCCTTAAGATCATGGCATCCCAGTTAGTGGCAGTACTATTAAATCGCACAAGACGTACCTCCTCACGCAGAACATTGTGAAACATTGCCCTGCCATCAGCTGACGGAGACCCAGGCGAAGAACCAGATGAATTGTTGCGCGGGAAGCCATGTCTCCAGCAGCTGGCCTTTTGCACCCACACGTGCAAGGAGGTGGTGTTGGTTTCATGACGTGTCCTATGCGTGACATGTCCACGGCACTGCTAATAATGGCCTTGGGTGTGGAAAGACAAGGTTTTGTGAACATCCACCGCCATGATCGACTGGACTGATAGTACTACAAGTTCCAACTGAGTGAAACAAAGAACCAAGTGCATATCGCCTGGCCCCGACATCCCCACTTCCCCTTTCTGTCCTCAGGACGCTCTGCCACTCCGGGCCTTGTCCCAACCCTGAAGGCTGTTCCGCGGAGGTCAGTGTGCGCTGCGCCTGTCACAACAAGTACCGTGCCAAGTGGAAGTGCTCGAAGGTGCAGGCTGCGTTGGAGCGCGCCGGCCAGCCACGAACGTACGATGACACGCAGGTGCCGCGGCTGCTACCGTGTGAGGCGGAGTGCGAGCTTCTTAAAGGCCAAGGTCCCCACCTCAGTTCAAAAGCCAAGGGCACTGCCAACGGGCCAGCACCTTCCACCAGCATGACCGTTTCATGCAGCATGGAGTCTTTTTCCTTCGGAGCATGAGGCGCGGTAGAAAACAGGCACGTAAATGCCCTGAATGCGTCAAACTCTCCAGTAAGAAGTTATGTACTGTGTCTTTTATCCATTGCGGCCAAGTTCATGAGCATTGTCATTTAATCCTTCCGGTCCTAGAAGAATTGTCAGAACTTTTCCAGGCAAACGATTATGCATTTTTTTAATGAGCTGTTAGAAATAGGCTCTGGTAGAGTGTTATCAGAAAATCTGTGTTGTAAACATTTGGTTTTATGACTTCTTCAACTGGGAAGGCCAGCATGACGCGACTGACGCGGGCAAAATGGGAGGCGTTGGCGGCTAAGAAGGACACTGAGCGGCTGCGTCAGCAGCGACTGACTGCTATTGTGCGGGGGGTCATGATGGGCATTGTGGTTGCGCTAGGCTTGCTGCTGGCTTGGGGCATCAAGGCCGTCCTGTGGTACCTGGACGAAATGATGCAATCATCGTGTGTAGTAAGCGTGCAGTGGAGGTGTCATGCGCTGCATATTGGGCCACAGCATAGGCTATAATACGCGCAGCGCAGGTGGATTGTGGGGCGATGGAAGGCATTGGAAGAAGCCTACTAGATGTTGCGGACGGAAATTTGTTGCAAGTTGTTTAGGGCAAGGATTTTATGCCACGCAGAGCTGGATGTGCTGTACTGAGGACACAAAGTATTGCCGTAATGTGCACGCGGAAACCATTTCTAGTGCCTCTATTCACCTGCGGTTGCCGGCACTTATCAGCCAGATGTGACTATGTACCAGTCGATGACGCTGGATTAGCGTTTTGCCGTCGAAGGCCTTGGAAATGATGGCAACTTCATACGCTGCGCCGCAGCTGTATGAGGGCATATAGCACCCACCCGGGTGAGCGATGGGGGGTAGCATGGTAGTTTTTTTTTCAGTTGGGTGCGCGGGGAACCAACATGTAATAATGATGGCTGTCGTACACCTGCTAACCCCTATCCCTAAGATTGTGGGGTATTTCTTGAAGCAGCTATTCGGGGGCTGTGTCATCATGTGGCTTAGTGAATCGGTGATGCACTCTGCGGTTGAGAAGTCGGTATGATGGCCAAGTGCTGAACCCTAAAAAGCTACTGAGCTCGCAGTGGATGAGAAGGATGAGGTCACTGCCAGGCTAGTGGTCACCGGTGAAGCTATTCTACCATATCCCAAACAATAACAGGTCGATATGGGATGTAAGAAGAACATTTTGTACATTCAGTTCATAAGTGCACCAAAGGGTAGGGTGATACTCATCTTTTTTTTCGTTTGATGTTTCCTTGAACCTGCTTTCCCAAACCTAATTATAATCTAATCCAGTCTAGTACACTTGAGTAAAATGCTACTGCCTTTGACTTCTACCGCTACCCTTTGCTCCACGAGCCAACGCGTGGTCTACAACCATGAAAACCACGAATTGCAGATCAGTTTGCACCCAATTACCCAGATTCTGCCACCTGACTGTCCTTCATGGCCACCTTCCAGCCAGAGATGCCAACCCCAGCGAACACGGCGGCTCCACGCATTCCCAACAGCACTCAGGCGATGGCCATGATCCTAAAGCGGGACGGATGGCAGATACCGGGCGGCACAACAATCGTCCCGCTTATGCACCTAACGGTCCGCCTAGCGACACAGCTGCAATGCGGGGCCACGGAGGAGAAACGGGGATGCTTGATGGCAGCATTTTTGTGGACCCGCAGGAAACGGTACCTTCATCCTCGGCGGAAATTAGCTGCTTCAGGGCCTGCTTGTGGTCTGGGGTGCGGTTGGAGAACGCAAACAAATAAACGCTGTGGCGGCTTGGCCGTGGACGGCATCCCCCTGCCCGGCAACACGCACCTGGCTCGCATGGTGCCCAAGCGGTGTGGGTGCGGAAGGTTCGGCAATGCCAGCAACCAGCAATGCTCCCCACGCATGAACCACTTCTGGGAGTGCCCCGTCGCACAGGCTGTCCATTGATCGACACCCCCAGGAGGCCGCGACAGGCGGCATCACCCGGAAGCAGCTGTGGTTGGTCCAGGCCCCGACCGGCTGCGAACAGGCCCCCTGGGATGTGATCGCCCTGGCGGCCCTGTCTGCTATAGAGGTAGGCAGGTGCTGCCTGCGAGCAGCCGGAGGACGGCTGGAAAGGGCGGCTAACCCCGCGACGCAACGGCCAGAGCAAGTGCAACAGATCCAGGCGCAAGGACCCCAACAGCGGCGGATAACGGACTTCTCCCACCTGGGCAATGGAGCGAGACCGCAGGAGGGCCCGTTGCTGAACGCGCCGGTACTCGAGGATCAAACGCAGGGGCGAGTGTTTTGCGCGTTCAATGCTTGCCAAGCAGTGAAAGCTGGGGCATTGATTATTAGCGTCTTATAAATTATATACATAAGGATGTTTTGTAACTTTGGACCATCATTTCCATGGCCATCTGCTGGGCGTCCGCTGGAACGGTCAGGATGTACGGCGTTGCGGACAGGGAAGCGTCCGCGGGCGGGGTATAAGTTCCTGCAAAGCACTCGGCACAAATCAGCTGCGTCTACGCACTTGCATCAGGTACAAAGTCGACATTCCTCCTTTCGCATGCATTGGGTAGACGGCAATTCCCCGCAGCGGCCCCCTTGGCAATCCAATCCCTTGGCTCAGCCAACCCTGCCACTATGAGCCACTGTAACGGATCTCCTTGTACATCTTATACATGCCACTACCACCACCATCACCACCACTTATAATTGGTTTAACCGTAAGTCCTCCCTAATATCGTGGCCTCGTATTTTGTCGTATAGTGTCGTACAGTATAGCTGTAGCATCGTCATAGGTAAGGTTAGTCTTGGATCCGGCAAAACACAAAACAAAATTACACGCCTACTGGTGTATTATATTCATAAAGGCACAAGCAAGCAAGCACTCACACGTAAACCACCACTGCCACAGCCATTCACTGCAACACACGTACACACACACAAAAGGCTGACCCGTTATCCGACAGGCAAACACCAAAACCAAACGCCTCCAAACCAATAACATCGCAATTCTCTTCTCCCCCCCCCCCACTCGCAGCCAGCTCTCTCTCCTCCCCTCTCCTCCCACCCCCCATGTACAGCACCTCCTGCCCCCATTAATTGCCGTCGGAAGGTACCCTAGCCACGCTACCCAAGCGCCACTGGCGCCGCCGCCGCCACTGCAGCGGCGCCGCCGCCGTCGCCGCCGTACGCCAGCAGGGGCAGCGGCCGCTCAAACAGCTTTCCAACCTGCCCCGTGACGTTGTGTCGAATCTTAAACAGCCCCGTCCCCGTGGGCATGGGAATGCCCATGATGATCGACTCGCTCACCCCCACCACATCATCCATGCGCCCGTGTATTGCCGCGTCAAACAGGTGATCGGCGGTCTTCTCGAAGCTGGCGGTGTGTAGAACGCTGTCCTTCATCTTGGCGATACCGAAGCGGGTGATCCCAAGTACCTCACCCTGCGTGTTGGGGGCGGTGTGAGTGGTGGTGTGAGTGGTGGTGTGAGTGGTGGTGTGAGTGGTGGTGTGAGTGGTGGTGTGAGTGGTGGTGTGAGCGGTGGTGTGAGTGGCGGTGTGAGTGGTGGTGTGAGTGGTGGTGTGAGTGGCGGTGTGAGTGGTGGTGAGTGCGGGAGCGGGTGACAAGATGGGGAGAAAAGTTGGAGCGGTGGGGCCAGAGGGGAAAACCCCCGCGCACCCTCCTTGGGGTTTGTGTAGAGGATGACAGTTCGGGGGTTTTGAAGTGATTAGAGAGTGCCGGGCCGCGGGAGGAGAGGGGAGAGCTGAAGAGAAAGGACGAAGAAAAATGAAAACCATGGGGACACATAAATGCACCCCCAACAAAATATGCCATGTGAAATCTTCCACACGCACTATATAAGCTGGTTAGGACAACACAGCACATATGTACGGCAGCGTGTCGTACCTTGTACGACATGCAATCCGCCAGTAGCATTATGTGTCGGTCGTCGATGCTCATCCCGTGGCTGCCCATGGTGTACTTGATCTCCGACATGATGGCGGAACGGGCGGCCTGAAGGGTGAGAGTTGAAAGAGCAATGTTATCAGTGAAGAGGAAGAGGAAGAGGAAGAGGAGGAGGAAGAGAGGAGGGTAGCCATTAGGGACGGGGTAGTGACGTCACTCTGCATCCCACACCGCACCACCATGGCTTGGTAATCTCCTTGTGGCGACTTTGTGATGTCATCATTTGAGGGGACAAAACACACACGGGGGTGAAGGTACCTGGCACTTCACCCCACCTGAGGGAGAGCTGGACGTGGACGTGGACGTGGAGATTGAAGGGGTGGAGTAGACAATACCGGTACCCAAAAGCTGCCCCCCATCACCACACCACCCCCACCACTCCCACCACCACTTCCCGCTTTCCCATCCGCCCCCCACCCTCGGGTCCCCAACCCCCCCGCACCTCAATGCCCATGAACTTCTCAATCTCCGCCACGTGGTTAGTGGTGGTCTGCGTGCCCAGCACCCCCAGAGTGCCCATCACGGCCTGCAGATGGGAAGCCGACAAAAGGGGAGGGGAGGGGAAATAATATGCCATGCCAAGTCAGAAAGGAAAAACAGCAACAGCTGGCCCTCTCTCCGTCACCAAAGTTGCAAACTGCCGCTGCTGGAGGTGAGGTGGGGTAAGGGAGGAAGTCGCCAAAGGGGGGAGGTGGAATCGGCGGGGCGGCTATAACCCCGGAAAGGGTGGTAAGAGCCATGAGGATGACGTCAGACAGCGAAACAATGTACCGTAGACGGAACATCAGCAGCAGCGTTATTAGAAGCATTAGCATCATATTTAGCAGCGACATCTACAGCAGGCGGCAGGCGGCAGGAATGGAACATCCCGCTTTTCCCCCTCCCGCTTTTCCCCCTCCCGCTTTTCCCCCTCCCCTCCTCCCCTCCCCCCCCCTCTTCCGCCCCTGCCCACCCACCTGCACGTTCGTCCCCTCCACAAGCAGCGAGTACTTGTCCCCCTTGTCCTTGGTGATCACCGCTCGCTCCACAGTGGGAATACCCATCACGATGACCTGGGGGGGAGAGAGGGAAGGGGGGATCGGGGTGGAAGGGGGGAGGGGGGGATCGCAAAACACGCACAGAATTACACAGCACAACACAGGATAGCGAGAGATGTGAGCACCCTTCCCTTCGTCAAATCAAAACCCTAAAACACACACACACACAGACTGCCCTCCCACGGCGTGTATAATTCGGCGGCGTACGGTGTACGGTAGGCCAACCTGGTAGCCTCACGGATATCACGTCCCCCCACCTCACCCGCACCGCCCGTGATCCAGACGGGGACTCGCCCCAGGAGCACTACGATACAGATTCCAACCCCGACCGAGCCCCAAACCTGCCCCACACTATACCCCGTCTCTCTTATCTCCTTAGACACACACATACATACACACACACGCACACACACGCGCGCAGACGCACACACACACACGTACCCCTGGCAGTTTGCCCAGCAGCCCCTCCAAGCAGAACAGCAGCCCCTGTCGAGATGCGTCCTGGGGGTACACCAGCACCTTGTCCTGGGCCACGGCCCGCACGTGCTGCTCCTTGAGCTTCAACTTGGGGTGGGCCAGGATGCTGTACTTCACCTGACGGGGTGAAGTAAGTTGGGGGGGAAGGAATGGGAGTTGGAGTTGGACGTGCGGGAAGCATCACGTGACGCAAGCAGCAGCAATGGGTCACCTGCCGACAGACACACACACATACATACACACGCACACACACGCATACAGTCACACATACATACACAAACACACACACAGACACACACACACGCATACAGACACAGATACACACACGTCCAAAGTAGGTTGGGTCGGTTAGGGGTTACAGGTGCAAGAGGGGGAAATAAAGACAGCAAATTATTCCGAACGCCGGCGGACGCGAGGGCCAGCAATTCACCTCTATCCAAGGAATCCACAACCCTATGACGACCGCACCGTGTGCCCGTCAATGTCCAGCTGCAGCGCGTCAATACTGGCCATATCCAGGCGAATGGAAATGACCGCCTCGCCATGCAGCCGAGGACCGCCGCCATATGCGCCGCCGCTGCCGGGCATCGTCATCGCGTCTCCTCCCCCTCTCCCTGGCTTGAGCACGATCTTGATGTGTCGTGCCACCTGACCCAGAGTCGTCTTCTCCAGCCGCCCCTTGACCAGTCGCGCAGCCTTGACGTCGCCATCCACCGCCAGCGCCACCTGCGAGATATAAAGGACACGGCGCGTTAGTACAACTACTTCAACGCCAAATACTTATAATAATAATAATAACAATAATAATAATAATAATAATAACAATAATAATAATAATAATAATAACAATAATAATAATAATAATAATAATAATAGAAACGTAGACTGCAAAAGGCATCATTCAAAAGTTTAAAACTGGTAAAAAAAATTTATAATGCAATAATGCTTTCCTCTAGGGCGCTCTAGACGTTCGCCTGCTCAAAGATAATTTTAGAAATCAAAAAGAAAGTGGCCATCTGTTTGTTATCTGGGCCTGGAGGGCGAAAAGCTTTTGTAGGGAACGAACTTAGCGCGAGAAGCGAGCGCAACGCGCATTTACAACCGCTCGCACACTCGCTCCCTCTCCCCCCCTCTCCCCCCCCCGCACACACACATACCTTCATGATGGGCGTGCTGATGTTCTTGGCAGCGTTAATGATCTCCTTGATGCGAGGCACACCAAGCGTCACGTTCATACTGGCCACGCCAGCAAAGTGGAACGTCTTCAGCGTCATCTGCGTGCCTGGCTCGCCAATGCTCTGCGCCCCCACAGCTCCCACCGTGGACCCGGGGTCGATACGTTTCGTAGCGTACTTGGTCAGACACAACCCCACAAACGCCTCCAGCTGCGACGGCGTCAAGCCATCCTGCCCCGCCGCGTACTCCGCGGCGTCGTCAGCGCCACGCTCGTCCTCCGCCAGGCCCAACCGCTTGCGAGCGTTACGATATCCCGCCAGCTGTGAGGCCAAGAAGTCCCGGAGGCCCTTACGGAATGCGTCGCTGCACCAGGGGGTGCCCAAGTCCATGGAGGAAGCCGCGGCGGGGGCGGCGGCGGCCTTGCCGCCGCCACCCAAGCGGGCTGCCGCAGCCGCGGCGGCAGATGCCGTAGGTGTGGATGTGGATGTGGTGGTTGAGGAGGCACGTAGCTCAGGTCGGTTAAGTTGTTGGGCGATGAGCTCGTCCAATTTGTTGGGGAGAGGCACCTCGTGAGCGCCGCCGGCGGACAGCGGCACCCGGCGAGTGGTGGCACGAACCTTGGCCATCAGCCGCGCAAAGTCCAGCGGCTTGCCCTCCTTGCCCTCCATGGCCACCGGGTCCATGCCGTCCTCGCCGTACAGCAGCTGTACGATGCCACCGCTGGCGTTCCGTACGGTGGAATCGTAATGGGCGTACAGGTCCTCCAACGCCTTCATCAGTCGACGGGACATGTAACCCGTCTCCGCAGTCTTGACGGCTGTATCCACCAGCCCCTCCCTGCCACCCATCGTGTGGAACCAGAACTCCGTGGCGCTGAGGCCGCTGTAGAAGGAGTTGGCCACAAAGCCCTTGCCTGCGGGGTTGGACGGCGTGGGGCATTACACATATAATGCAAAAGTCGGGTGATGGAGAGGGGCCTTGAAACCGCCTCGGAAAGAAGCCCTGGGAGCGTGGAAAGGATGGAAAGGAAACCTACCAACCTACCTACCTATTTACCTACCTACCTACCTACCTACGTACCTACCTACCTACCTACCTACCTACCTACGTACATACCTACCTACCTACCTACCTACCTACCTACCTACCTTACCTACCTACGTACATACATATGCACCTGCCTGGTTGCATGGGATCTCAGCCGTCCCCCGAATCCACCCCCAATTCACCCCGAAACCCCGAAACACAGACACGACACATACACACCCGCCGGCGTCTTGTCGCCCCGCGGGTAGTGCGGCAGCGTGCGCTCCCTGAAGCCGTTGAAGCAGCGCTTGCCTCCCACGGACTGCTGCCCCACACACGCCACCATCTGGGCGATGTTGATGGGGCTGCCCTTGGAGCCGCACTGCGACATGATGAGGGGGGAGTTGTGGTAGTCCAGGGTGTCCATACACACCTTGCCCGCCACCTCGCGGATGTTGTTCAGCACACCGGTCATGTTGGCCTCCAGGGACTGCTCCGCGTTGCAGCCGGGCTGCAGCTGCAGCTCACCCTGAGGCGGGATGGGGTGGCGTGAGGTGGGGTGGGTTGGGGTATCTTGTGGTGTGAGGTGGTGTATACGCGTGCGGGATAGGGTGGGGGAATTACCAGTGCAAGAAACAATCAATCAAACAAACGATCAGCTGAAAAAATGCGGGAGAGGGAAGAGGGGGAAGAAAGCGCAGGAAATGACATGTGAGAAGCGACGTGCGAAAAGGCTTAGCTGCCGAGAAGATAGGAAGATGAAAAATGGAAGACAAAGTGAGGAGATAAGTGTGTTTGTGTGTGTGTGTTTGTGTTTGTGTGTGTCGTGACGCACGTATTTGACCAAACCAGGTGTCACCAACCCCCCAGACCTAAGGGTGGCGGGAGATAGAGAGTTCACCAGGTCCTCAACACCAGTCCCCTCTCCTTACCCCCCCCTTCCCACCCTAGTTGCTCTACCCCCTCCAAAACTGTAGTGTAGTGGTACCTTTTTGAACGCCGCGATGAAGTCACGGCAATCCGTGTAGCCCTTCTCCACCGTGTCCGCCTTGGCCCGCTCCAGAACCGGTGCAGGCGTTACGTCGTCAATGCCAATGGAGAAGCCCCGGTTGCCCATGTGACGAGCCGCCATCTTGGCAAGGCGGGACATGGCGGACGCCGCGGCGTACGGCGAGTAGTCGCAGTTCAGCGTGCCGAACAAACCCGACTTGCTGGCGCCGAGAACCACCTGGTTGCCGTACAGGGGGGGAGTGGGTGCATTGGTGGGTTGCGGCGGAGTGGAGTTAGGGAGCCGCCGGGGACAAAAGGACAGGCAGTAACCCAGCCTCCCGCAATCAGATGAACCCCCCCAATCGATCTTTCCCCCCAAACACCAAACACACACATTTGAACCCTAAGCCCACTCACCTCACCCCAGGAGGCTCCAACCCAACTGCGCTGAACCTACCTTCCATGTCTCTCTTCCCCCCATTCCTCCCTCGCCCCCCTCTCCTCTCCTCTCCTCCCTCTCCTCCCACCTTCCCTCCCTCCCTCCCACCTTGCCTAACCGGCCGCTTATCAGCTCGCTGTTCCGAAAGCACACCCAGCCGTCATTGGGGCACATGTGCTCGCCCTTCTTGCTGTAGATCTTCTCCGCCATCTCCAGGTTCACGAACACGCGCACCGCCGCTGCCGGGCGCACCAGGCAGGAGAACAGCTGCTTGCCGGTCCACAGCTCCAGCGGCTTCAGCAGCGCGGGGGTGGGCAGGTCGATGTGCTCCAGGCCATCCGCCATGGTGGCCAGCAGGCCGCAGAACTCGGACCGCGTGTAGAAGCGGTCCTTGGAGGTCAGCAGGAAGGCGCACGTCAGGAAGTCCTGTGGGGGGGGGGAGGG